TAAACTTGCTCTTACCCTATCCAGCACAGCCGCGTGGAAAAGCACACGGCTTCTATCTGAATGGCACAAAAGGATGCTCGACTTAGGACATGGCTCAAAACCCTGTTTCTTTCCCCTGGGCCCCACGCCACCCACCACTCCACCTGGTCTGGCCACTCGCTGAGGGAGATCCTCCCAGTACCCACCACCCGCAAGATGGAGTGACTTTTACCCTGGAGAGCACTGCTCTGTCAGATGTGACTTTAATCTCCTCTTGCCTTTAAGTAGGAAGCTGGCAGGGAGAGTTTGAAAATTGCCAGAACAGAGGATTCTCACTTTTGGATTTTTCCCTTTTTCTCCTGAGGGTATCAGAAGAGAATATTGAGTATCTTGCTTGACTATCATGGGGACCGTAGACCTGAGAGTACATCAAGATGGGTTCCCTGATAGTCGACCTCAAACTCTTCCTGGCCGAGCTTTTCAAAGTGGCGCATGATGAATGGACAACAAGGGAAGGCACGGAGACTCTTCCTCAGTGTGGTGGAGCAGAGTAAGGATTCTGTGTGCCCCATGGAGATTCTGGGCAGAGCAGTGAGTGGCAAGGGGGACAACAGGGAGCCCAAATCCTCCATTCATTCATCATTCATTCGATCAGTGAATATTTATTATAAGCATACTCTATGCCAAACACTTTTTTTGACTGCTGAAGAGTAGTAACTCCACAATTCAACAAAATCTCTGTGTCATGAATCTTTCTTCCTAGTGTGAGAAACAGATGAGAAACATGATAAATAAATGCATTATAAAACTTGTAATGGAGCGATGGATGCTGAGGAGAAAAATGAAGCAGGGAAGGGGGACTGGGAATGTACAAATCTAACTGGACATGTGTGTGTGTGGATTGTTGCCCCCAGTGGGACCAACAGTGAAGGCTTTACTGAGAAGATAACTTTTTTGAAGAAGGATCAGAAGAAAGTGGATCCTGTGAGGAAGGATCAGAAGAAAGGAGCCATAGGATTCCTGGGGCAGGAGGACTTTAAGTAGAAGGAGCAAGTGCAAAAGCCCTGGGGTGGGATTTTGCCTGGCCTGTTTGAGGAACGATGATGAGGCCAGTGTCCCTAGAGAAGAGGAGCCCAGGGGGCGAGTAGTAAGATACAAGGTTAGAGGGGATGCAACAAGGGTCAGATCATTCAGGGCATGCAGAAGGACTTTGAATTTTACCCCAACAGAGATGGTAGCCATCTCTACCATGGAGGAGTGGCCTGATCTCCCATTTTTAGTGGACTCTGTTGAGAACAAGCAAAAGGGAGGGAGGGCAGACGCAGAGAGACGAGTTAGGAGACAAATGCAATAATCCAGCCAAACTTGTCAGGGAAAAGAGTAGCACTTTATAGGCTATTTATGGCCTGTACCGTATCCTTTACAAGGTGGGTTCTAACAACCAGTGCCAAAAATTGCCTAAGCACTTCATTGTTTACCCAGAATCAGTCTGGCGCACGACAGCAGGTAGAAACCATTCCAAGTACAAGTGCATAAAACAGCCAGTTATCCTGCTTTGGGCACGGATCTCCCATAAAGGATTCTTGTGTTTACGTTGCTGGAGGTTTGTGGTTCCTTTCTAGAACGGTTTTCAAAGAGCCAGAGTCTGCTTTTCCCTTTTCCCTTTCTTACAAAAACAGCAATTGACCTTTTATGTTTATTTAGGAGCTTTGCCCATTCTAACAATTAATTCAAAGTTTATAGGAAATTTAAACAACCCTCTCATATACTGGATTGGGTTCTGGAACAGAAAAGGGACATGAGTGAAAAAAACTGGTGAAATCTGGCTAAAATCTGTAGTTTAGTTAATAGCAGTGTACCGATGTTAATTATTTAGTTTAAATGAGCTGCGGTCAATGTGGCAAACCTTCAGAGGTTAACATCAGAAGAACTGAGGTGAACTTTGGGTACCATCTTTTGCAACTCTTCTGCAAATTTAAAATTATTCCAAAATAAAAAAAAATTTTAAAAAAGCCCTCTTAAAGGGAAAAGGAAAACATTAATCACTTCAAAAGAGCTGTTTTCCAAGATAAAATGATCCATAGAAATATTCTGCACATTTAGTCATTTTTATCCACTGTTAAGAAGTAGGTTGCTATTACCTCATAGATAGTTGGAAATAGTTCTCTTTTTCATGATTTCCTTTAGATCGAGCTGCATTTCAACACTTCTCTTGCCTCCTGGATTAAATGTACAGGCACTATTTCTACTCTCAAGGATCTACTCTGCTTAGAAAATAGGTCTTTTTCATAGCTATTTACCAGTCCAAACCCTTGTCACTTGTGGTTTTTCTTTCTTTTTGTCTTCCTCCAGTCTTCTAGTTTTCATTCTTCCTGTGGACCACACCTTCATTGAAGAAATGCAACCGAATGCCACTGGCCTTTGAACTGTAGCCCCATTTTCTTTTTCTTCTTCTTCTTCTTCTTTTTTTTTTTTTTAAAGATTTCATTTATTTTTTTGACAGACAGAGATGACAAGTAGGCAGAGAGGCAGGCAGAGAGAGAGAGGGGAAAGCAGGCTCCCCGCCGAGCAGAGAGCCCGACGAAGGGCTCGATCCCAGGACCCCGGGACCATGACCCGAGCCGAAAAGGCAGAGGCTTTAACCCACCGAGCCACCCAGGTACCCCCCTATTTTCTTCTTTCCTGAAACCTAGATATGAATTTTTTTTTGCTTGCTGTGCTGAAGCTTTGGGGAAAGAAATTTGCCATTGTGTTAAAAAACAACAACAACAAAACAAAACCCCGATCTTCTCAATGTCTGATTGTGTAGACAAGAAATGATGAATGCAAATGTTCCCATGGACCTGGAAAGCTACATAAGGTGTAAGGCAGTCAAAGGTACTGAATAACAACCTGCTGGCATAGCAGACCTGGCCTTCAGATGGTTATTTTGACTTTTCTGGGGCCGTTGTGTCTTTTTCTCAGAAAATCGGTGGAATCTTTGAGTCTGTTTCCAAGACAGGTGCTTTACAAATTACAGGTTGTGGTTTAGTCAGGTTCGAAGGGAAAATGTGACCTGTTGCAGTTGGTTCCACATAGGAGCCAAAATATGTTTCCACATAAGATGGAGAAAAGCTTGATGAGATTTTTCACTAGGTGCAGATCAGGCAGTGATGTTGTGAGGTCTTTAAGAATATTTCTGAGTCCCTAAGGCAGGACTGCATTTAAATGACAACAGGTGGTAAATAGAACCTGAACCAAAAACACCTCATAAAGGCACTCTCCTGCTTATTGAACAACAAATTCCTATGTCATACCACGCATTAGACTAGGAAATCTCTTTGTGGGGTCTACTTTACATTTCCACCACTAGAAATGAAGTCCGCGGTAGATACCTCAAACTAAGGGGAGCAGACTAATATGACTAATATTCCAGGGAAGCTTTAATGAAATGTTCAAGACGCAAAGTATCAGATCAGATTGCTAACTGGCTTGAGCAACCCGTATTAGGACCACATGCGCATTCAAAAACATTCGGCAATGGAACGTGCACTGATGTTCTTGACCTTGACGCTCTCCTTTATGCCTCAGGTATCCCAGGCCCAGGTAGAGGAGATCCTTTTGGACACTTTTAGCAAAACAGGCAGTGTGCACGGAACACTTTCCAAGGGGGGCTGGAACCGCTCACCCAATTACACTGCCTCAGTCTCCTCGTCACTGCTGCTACACCCTGAGACAACCTGTATTCACAGCTTTGCCAAGCCATAGACCAGACACCAACCAGGCTAAGGCATGTTCTCCCCCCACACCACAAAACCAAGGACAATGATGAAAAGGCTCCCCCTCAAGGCACCACTGTCACCTCCTGGCTTCTGAAAGCCTTGAGAGCGAGGACAGTCCTAGCTTCCCACCCAGCCTGCAATTTTCCCCTCATGGCCTCCTGTTAAAAGCAGATTGAATTGCTAGGATAAATCCATCTTATCCAATTTTAGTCCTTGCTTTAGCATATGCTTTTCTATGAGGAGAAAGCTATAGTAACAGGACAGAATGGAACTGCGCCCAGCACAATAGTCCTTTCTATGCAAAAAGATAAGATATTTTAAATTTGGGAACTGGGGCTATTCAATTCTTTCCATTTTAAGTCATGAAGTGAAATCGAAAAGCAGCATTCTGAGGTGGAAAAGGTAGTGCCTATTGAAGCAACCAATGTGACTCCTCCATGTGCCATAGCTGTGGGTGTTATGGAAATGCATTTCTTCATGATGCCGCATAGCAGCTCTGGCTAGGAAAATAGTCAAGCCACTCCATTACCTCATCCGTGCATATGCCAATAGCTACATGGCTATGCATGGAGGATGGGGGGGGTTCTATCATGGAGATCAGGTCACACTTAGTGATACTCTAGGGTAACAGCTATTTACATACTCTGCAAGCTCTTATGGCAATTTCACTAATCTCAAATACATAGAAATATTTTCCAGGTGTATTAAAAAAAATCCATTTGGAGAACCCATAGCAGGTCTGGGTGGGACTATCAACGCTGAGGACTGAATGTTTCTCCCTGGCAATTTCTTTTCTTTTCTTTTCTTTCTTTTCTTTCTTCCTTCCTTCCTTTCTTTCTTTCTTTCTTTCTTTCTTTCTTTCTTTCTTTCTTTCTTGAGATTTTATTCATTTGAGAAAATCCAAAGTGGCGGGTGGGGGGCGAGGGAAGAGCAGAGGGAGAGGGAGAGGAAGAAGCAGGCTCCCTGCTGAGCAGGGAGCCCCACACGGGACTCGATTCCAGGACTCCAAGATCATGATCCGCATCCCAAGGGCAGACACTTCACGGACTGAGGACTGAGCCACCCCGGAGCGATCCCCCCCCCCCCGCCCTCCCCGCCACCCTGGCAATTTCTAAAAAATGCTGGACATTGATTTATCAGAGGTGATTTACACTAATGTTACTGGGCCCTAGGGCAGAGGAGCCGGTCCCTCCCGCCACCTGAGCCCAGGAGAGATGGACGCGCTGAGGCAAGAGCGGGTTTCATGCAGCCTCTCCTCACCTCCCCCCAGGCCGCTGGCGGGGGCTCCACTGGAGGGTAGTACTTAGGCACATCCCAGGCCACCGCAGCCATGAACCATTTGAAGTCCTTGCACTTGAGTTGTTTGCGCAGTTCCTTCTGGGCGGAGATGTCCCCGGTGGAGAGGTGCCTGTATTCTGGGCGCCGCTGGTAAATGTACTCGGCGAATTCATCCATCCAGGTCTCAGCCACCCGCTTCAGGTTCTGTGCAGCAGAAAAGAACGCCATTTATTTGACCTAGGCACTCAGAGGGTGATCTTCGTTGCCCTAGAACTGGAAGAAGTACAAGAAATTCGACAACCGCCCAACCGCAGGCAGCGCTGGTTGGTGGCTTTTTAATAAATGGGAGTTTTCATAACTGGGAGGGGGTGTGATATAGTTAGTCTGAGGCCTTGCACGCATTTCTGCCTCTGGCATGGGGTTCAACGACTGGTTAGGTAATTTATCAGAGTTGTTAAATTTCAGCTTACGATTACATCAACTTTCTCATCCCTCCTGTTATTTCGTGATTATAAATTCTTTTTTTTTTCCCACGCAAAACTAAAGGAGTTAAAACTGGAGATAATGAAGTCCTTCTCAGGCATCAAATTGCTTAAACCATTTCAAGGAACAGTTAGGATCTTGGAAAGAATGAGGACAAACAAGCTGTTACTCTTTTCTCCCAATTACAGAGACAACCCAGCATTACTAAATTCAAGACCTTGTGTTCTGATGATATTTTCTATGTACAATTCCGCTAAGCAGAATTCAGTAATTTACTGCACAATGAAGTGTAATGAAGCTAAGGGAAGCACCAACTAGCCGGGCTTCTCTGCAGATGTTTCCATGGGGGAAGGAAGCAGGAGGCTGATGATCGGGAAATAAACATGCTCCTTGTGGGCGGGAGACTGTGTGGGTCCTGGAGAGGAAGCTCAGCCCTTTCGTAAGTTTTGCGATGGCGCAAATAACTCATCCACTCCAAGCCTCACATGCCTCACCTGAGAAGACACAGATAGTAATCTGTACCTACATCATGGGAGTGGTTGTAGGATTGAGTGAAGTAACATGTATAAAACAGCTGTGCTAGTACCTGGCACACACTAGGTATTATAGATATTATTATTATTAGCGGAAAGTAATTGGAGTAATTGGAGGTCTAGTGTTGGGCTTGGCCACAGATGAACTGAATTGTTCCCGTGGTCTTTAGCTGAGATGAGATGTGCTCTGACACTCCTTTAGGCATATACACACACACACGCACACATACGTGTGTGTATATATATATATGTAGATACATATGTACATGTGTACATATGTATATATTTAATATGATGTAATATATAATATATGTAATATATTGTAATATATATACATATTTGTATATATGTATAACATATATATGTATATATTTGAAGATTTTAGTTATAACAGAGAGAGACAGAGAGAGCACAAGCAGGTGGAGAGGCAGGCAGAGGCAAAGGGAGAAGCAGACTCCCCACTGAGCAGGGAGCCTGATGTGGGACTTGATCCTGGGACCTTGGGATCAAAACCTGAGCTGAAGGCAGATGCTTAAACAACCAAGCCACCAGGTGCCCCCAAGCTCTATCATATTAAGCACTGGTGAGAGCAGATGAGTTGTCCAGAGGGTCTGAGTTCTGATGTCCCCAGCTTGTAGCCTAGTTTCCTAGCCAGGGTCCCATAGGCTTTGGCTCTTGTTTTGTGTTTGAATTTCTTATTTCAAATGCCCAGTTGCTGTGACATGGACCCTTCCTTTCAGTTTCTCATTTGTACTTGGAAGATAACATGAGCAGAATGACTGGAAATTTTAATAAGATCCAGGCATAAGTGACTAAAGGAAAAACTAGTGATATTTAGGAAAATCATTTTCTCTTAAAAATTATTACAAAATCCTAATTAAGGCCTGGAACTTTGCCCAGAAGTCTGTTGGGAGTCAGATCTCCAAATATCTTAGTCCTAGTAAGATTGTACCCTTTTCTTGTTCTGTCCCACCACCTCCACCTCCATTGTCCTCGATGTGCCCCTCTTTCATCTAAGCTTCTCTCCATGCCACCCCCGACCACTCCCCACCTTCCCCGCTACTTGCTTCCATGCGCTCCTTGGTTACTTTTGGATGCTGGTAGTCATGAGGAAGGGCTCAGTTAATACAGCAAGGTGCAGAAAAGATACAGTGCTACAAAGACTACTCTGATTTCTTGGTTGCCTCTGTGTTCCTTCCTTTCCAAGACTCCTGACATTGAGAGGTTAAGAATTTTTTTCTGAGGGTTTATTATTTGCCATTGCTGTGCTGCCTGACATCCCAACAGCATTGCCTTGCCCATAACACTTTCCACACCCCTGACTCCAGTTTACCTCGACAGACGATCAGAGCCAAAATCAATGTTGTTTTGTAATAGTGAAGCCCTTGCCACACATTCTGCACTGCCTGATTTGTTTGGAGAAAGATAAGGAAACAGGTGATGGTGGAGACTCCTGCTTTGTGATGACGCCATGTGCTATACACACCTGTAACATTTATGTCTGAGTCTTCACCATCATCTCGCCATTTAACTTTCATTCTGATAAACGTCGTGGATGAAATGCTTGGTATTATTATCTGTCCTTGGACAGACAATTTTTATGATTAACAAAAAGATTCAAAGATAGAATGGAAAAAATTAGTCAATAATTTATTAAAACTTTATTTATATTCAAATTAGATTTTAGGCTGAGGTTCCTACTTTTATCCTAAAATCCAATTATTATTTAAAATGGAAATATTTAATTTCTACTGCTTTATGTTTCCCTGATAAATGAAAGTGAAAAAAGGCAAGGGAATATAAAAAAGCAGAGGCAAAAAGGTAAATTACCCAGGAGTAATGAGAAAATGACTTTATTAGGTAGAGACATGCCTTAAAAATTCTGATAGCTTTGTCACTAAGCTACCTATTTTGACTTGTGTACATGAGCTCTTTTAGACTGTAAATTCCATGAAGTTAGGTATAGATCTGTTTTTAATTAAAAAACCCAGCACTTTGAATAATTCCAAGCACATGTGTGTGCTCATCTGGGCATGCTAATTATTGAATTAAAAATATATTATAAAATGAATGTGAACAAATTCATAATGTGTGCATATATCCAATGGTAAAGGTGCTGAAATAGGAAAAAATTGTTTAAAAGTGCTGGTGCCAAAGGGTATAAATTTATTATCTTGGATTTTTTAAAAAAAGATTTTATGCGTTTATTTATTTGAGTGGGGTTGAGGGGTGAGGAGCAGAGGGACAGGGACAAGCAGACTCACACTGAGTGCAGAGGGCTTGATACCACAACCCTGAGATCGCCACCTGAGCCAAAACCAAGAGTCAGACACTTAACGGACTGAACCACCCAGGTGCCCCTGTTGCTTTGGATTTTCTTTTTTTTCTTTCTTTCTCTCTTTCTCTCTTTCTTTCTTTCTTTCTTTCTTTCTTTCAAGATTTTATTTACCTATTTGAGAGAGAGAGAGAGTGAGAGGGGAGAAGGTCAGAGAGAGAAGCAGACTCCCCATGGAGCTGGAAGCCCGATACGGGACTCGATCCCAGGACTCCGGGACCACGACCCGAGTCGAAGGCAGTCGGTTAACCAACTGAGCCACCTAGGTGCCCTGCTTTGGATTTTTGAAATAAGAAGTAGAGTTTTTATAAAATTCAAAGAGGATCTCAGATGATCAGCTCAGATGCATTCAACTGGAAATGACTTGAGGTGTCATGATAAATGTTAGCCAGGATAAGCGTCATCAATAAGTAAATGGGATAGGAGACAACACGCTGGTAAATTGTCAACAACTTTAGGGAAGCTAACCAGGATGGTTAACCAGCCTGGTAGCTTTTGTGTTATCATGTCCTTTTCAAATTGAAATAAACTCGGTTGCAGGTTAGGTTTTCTGATTTCCCAAACACTCCAAAGGAAGCAGCAGGATCATGAATGTATTCCAGGGATAATGTCAGATCATCCTTTTTTGTAGCTTTCCAGGAGATGGGAAAAGAAAAACAGCACGATAATTGCAAAAACTGTAATAGCTAGTTTCTCTCTAGCAATGAGCATTACATAAACATTTAAAAATAAATACAACATCTTGCCCATTCTCTAATGTTCCCAATGACTCATTAGACATCCTCCATTATAGACGCTCTGTTCTCTGAATTGAATTTCCTACCAGGAGGAAACTTTCTAAAGAGTAGATTATTATAGTTAAGGAATAGTCCTCACTCCCAAACAGTGCAGGTGACTGGCCAGATAATATCATTCTGAAGTCATTATTCTGGAAGTAACAATACTCTGTGTTCACTTGCCACTGTAATCAGCACATGGTTTTGGGGAAAACATTGGAACAGCAGCTGAGAAATATTACAAGCAGTTGCAAAAGTTTCATTGGCCTTTTATAGATTGAAGAATAAATTCACTCATTCCAGGAAATGAAATAATTATATACACATTTAAGTTCATTGTGGTATTTCTATAGGAGCCTACATACACACATCCAAATACATGGAGGTAATGGGAAAGGAGCAAAGCAGACTTCTCACAGAAGCATTCTCAGCTGTGTACACATGATCGTGCAGTTGAGACATCCAATCTCATCTCTTGTCAGAGATGGGAACAAAGAGAAAAATAAATCAATCTGAGTTGGCCCATCTCTCCCTAGGATTGATTGAGTGAACACTGGTGAAGATGCTAAAGGTCCAAAAAATAGTTATCAAGACAAAAGAAAGAATGAAGAATGGACCCTGGCAGATCTATATGTGCAATCATGTACTCCCAAAGTATCTGAAGTTGGGTCTATCAAGGTTGTCTTGTACCCACGGAGCCCGGTATTAGCTGGGATTCCTGTTATTTGAGATTTAAATAGAATTGCTTCAATGACAAATTACACATTCTTGTCTTCCCCGAGATCTGTGTGGATTCCCAGGGCTTGGTGTTCACACATTCATCCTTAGCTCTGGTTTCCTGTTGGGGGACCTTTCTTTCCTACTGCGGGCTTGCCCCAGGCTTGCTTTCTCTTCTCTGTTTTTCAGAGCACTGAGCAGGGAGCTCGTGTGCTTCTCCTCACCTCTCAAACACTCCCCAGGTAGATTACTAAGGTGTGGACTGTGACGGCAGATTTGAGGGCCGTGGCAGATCTTCAGGTGACAAGGCACAGCAGATGACATAAGGTGGAATATTTGATTTCCTTCCTATTCTTTGGC